GAGGGGGGAGATCAGGTACCTGTGAGGCCAAGCAGACTTATAAATATTCAATTGAGTAGAACATAGATAAAAATTACCTCTTCATAAAGAACCATATGTGTAGGGGAGAGCACTTCCAGTTCTCCAAATGTTTACTGAAATTGCCTACACAAATGTTTTCAGCAGTTGGGTGAAAACAAAGAGCTTTGTAGTCATGTGGTTTTTGTGAAAAAGCCACCAATTTTAGCATATTTACTTCCATTTGTTGAACTTGCAACACAATACCAAGGAAGAATGATTTCCTAATGGAGATCTTCATGATTTTTTTTTTCCAAAATAAGAAACACACATCAGAAGAAAATACTTCTTCCTTTCTGAGGTATTCCTTTTAGGCTGTTTCTATCGATTCCTGTTATTCGGTTACCTCTACCCACAGAGAGATTGTTAAGATAAAAAGTGCCTCCACACAGCTCTAATTAAATGTCTGAGGACTGCACTCAGATGTCTAAACACAAGGACATCCACAGGGAGGATTCCTTCTGTATTTTAGTCCGTGGGGCTCGCATAAAATAGTGATGAGACGAAACTGATTTTTTGAGGTGCTCTACGAATAATAATAAAATCTCTGAGTGTCTTTCCCAATTAAGTACAAAATGGCCCTCTCCCCTGCAGCTGGCGTGACGCGCCCTCCCTCCCACGGGCTCCAGTGTGGTGCTTTCTTCGGTTTACTTCCCCGCTCACTGCTGCCAGTCATACCCCCTTCCAATCTGTTCTCTACAACTCAGCTAATCATCTTTCTCAAATATGTTTCTTGTCTTGCCTGTCCCCGGCCGAAATCCCTCTCCAGAGTTCCCAGGATAAAATACAAACACTTTGGCGCTGTACCCACCATCCTTCTGGTGCCCTCCTACCAGCTCCTGTGGCCCTCTTCCCCCAGCTCCCTTTCCCTGCAGCAACAAACTGATAGGTGAACAACAGGCTCCCCCGACCTGTAGTCCTGGGAACAGGCTGTGTGCTGATGGCTACCTTCAGGGCCTTTGCACATTCCTGTCCCTCTCCTTTGTGATGTCTGCTCCATTCTGTTTGCATGGCTCTGACTGATGCTTCAAGGATGGATCTGGGTGAAATCTAGGAAGCCTTTCTGGAGCGCTTTCCAAGGCTGGCCTTGGCTCCCTGCAACTCCTATCACTGCACTGCCACACCTAAGAACTCTGAATCTTTAACCACCTTCTCCATTGGCCTGGAAGCTCCTGAACGGCATGGCCCATCGCCTTCACAGGGTGCGCTGGCAGAGCAAACACCCAGCACTAAGTGCAATGCCTCTTCACTATTTGCTTTGTCCCAGGCACTCAACAAGGAAAATGCTTTCTGCATGTTTCCCTCCCTCAAACAGAATATATTTAAGTAAGGGTGATGGAAGAAACCCAGAAACAACCAAGCAGAATACAGTCTGAAAACAAGAAAGGCAAGATTTGCTATAGGATTTCTGGAAATTGAGATTCATTCTTCCAGTATCTCTCCCCCCACCCATCAAGCAGATTTGAAATGAAATGAAATCCTATTTCAACCACCTATTAACTGTGTAACCTTGCACATATACTCTACCTAAGTTTCAATTTCCTTCTGTGAAATAAAGAGGATAATATTTATCTTACAGGATGCTCTGAGGATTAAGTGAGATCATTCAAAGGGCCAGTGCACAGAAAAGACTCAGGAAATAATGCTGGGGATATTACTTTGAGATGATGCTCTGCTTGCTCTCTCAGGTCTACTCCACTGTACTACAGGTTCTGTACTCAGCATTTCACATTTCAACTTTTGGGAAGAGCTCTTGGATCTAGAGTCCTAGCTGATGGCCTGTTTTCAAATTAGGATGGCAATTCATTCTAGAGTTGGAAAGACTGCCTTGCTACTAGTAAGCTTTAACTTGGGTCTTTTTGAAAATCTTTGGACACAAGGACAGAAATTGTGGCTTACACATTGCAGGTAGTGTTTTATTGTTGAATTTCAACTGGAAAACTTCTTAAAAATGTGATTTATTTGTTCAGCACACATTTATTGAGTTCTTCCGTATTCTTCTCCTACTGTACCCCTCTTTGCTTCCTCAGACCATCGTTAAGAATGGAAACGTACCAGGGAAATCGGGAAACAGTAATCAAACATTACAATGTAAATAAGTAGTGATGCAATGACTGGTTGAAATTGGACTAGATTTTAGTATTAATTCTAGTGCCCCTATTGTATTGAAGAACTAAACCTCATTCTTACAACTTTCATGATAAATGTAGCAAATCCCATGGCCCACTATATTTAGTGGACCCAGGGGTATATGGTGCTCAAGAATTTGGGTTACAATAATAGACCGACCTGAATGGTTTTCTACAAATTACTTAATCTCTCTAAACTCCAAACTCTTCAGCCATTTCCTTGGGATTGTAAAACCTGCTTTGTGAGATTACTTTGTGGGTCAGTGGAAATAATGCATATAAAACTCTTAAAGAGAATGCAATGCTTGGGTATTTTTATTAACATTTTGAAGATCAGTCATGGAATCTGTGGCATTTTAAAAGACATTAAGTTAAGGCAGCCTGTTTGCAAGAGATTTTTACAGTGTTAGTAATTGAATACTTAGTCCATACTCCTTGTATTGTGCAATGTTGTTTTGCCCCAGAGTGCCGAAGGACTGCGCAAGTGTGAAACATGTATTCAAGAAACAACATCAGTAGATGTCAAAATCCTAACTAAACTAATGCAAACAGATTGACCTACCCTGATAATTTCTATAAATAAAGCCTCCACCTTCAATCTATGCTGTCTGCCAATCTTTCATTCTTTGCATTTTAGGAAAGGAATATTGTGCAAATACTCATAGGGGACAGACATTGTGGCATATTGGGTTAACCTGCTGCTTGGTATGCAGGCATCCCTTGCTGGAGTCCCTGTGTTTGAGTCCCAGATCTGCTTCAATTCCAGCTTCTTGCTGATGTGCACCCTGGAAAGCAGCAGATGATGGTTCCAGTATCTGGGTCCCTGCCACCCACATCAAGATCCAGGTGGAATTTGGCTCCTAGTTTCAACCTGGCACAGCCTTGACTGCTGCATGAGAACCAGAGATGGAATATATTTTCTTCTATCTCTCTCTCCTCTTCTCCTCCTCCTCTTCCTTTCTCTCTCTCTCTCACTCTCTCTCTCGTTCTGCCTTTTAAATAAATAAAATAATAATAAACATTTTTAAAAGAAAATATTGATAGGAAAGGAAGGAAACATTTGGGGGTTCTATCACAGAGAAGCCAATAAACGGTTTGGCTCAGCCCTGTGCCTTAGGAAAAGCCTCAAATTACCATTTGAGTTTTTTTTTTTTTTCAATTCTTTAACAACAAAGACACACTGACAAGGTTAAAATAAAATACACAGACAAATGTCACCCTGGGTCCCCACGTTAGGTCACAGAGCTTGCAGAACACTATTAAGAAAGATTTTTTAACGCATCATTTAAATATCTTTAGAATGACACAATTATTGTGTATTAAATATTCTGTGTTAAAGGCATTACATTTGTTTGTTTGTTAATAGAAAATATGCCATGAGCCCCGTAACCCTGATTAGATACTTTCTCACTTTTTAATGCTCAGAGCCCCTTAAAATTAGCGGTAACCTGAGCTGCTGTTTTGACGTCTGTGAATGACGGTCTTTCTAACTCACTCATCTGGTTAATTCTTATTTTTGAACAACAGGGACAAAATACTCCCTTTTTGTATTCAATATATTTGTTTTACTTTCACTTCCCATTTAAGAAGAGAAGCCATAAACAGGAATATATTGGTTAAGAGCCAGTTTTTAATTATGTCCAATGCAAGAATTCTGTGAGAGTTGTGTAGGGTTGTGTCATTGATGTACATCAAGAGGAATTCAGATTTTATATTATTTGTTCTAAACCAGAACATTTTACTTATTATTCATAATACATGTTGAAAGCAGACACCAAAATGGCTCATTTGGAGCCTTTTTGTGCTCGCCCGCTAATGCACATTAACGCCAGTACACATTCCGTATTACAGATCCATAAAATGCATTTGCATAATATTGAAATTATAATCCCACATGTGTACTAAAAACCGTTATGAAAAATTGTGACTGCTCAGCTACTATGCGGTGGCTAATTTTTAATCTTCAGCCTTTCCGCTGCGAGTAAAGATGGGGTATTCTTTAAATAAAAATCTCAGGAGTAAGAGCGTGGAAACTTGGCTCTCCCCTCAGTTAAGCAGGCCATTTTTAGGGAGAGGAATATAATACCCAAAGTGTTGAACAGCTGCCATGCTAAGGCCCGGGCCTCTGGTGGACTCTCAGAGTTTGACTTTTCAGATACCTGCAAGGCGTGAGGTTTCATGAGCCCACAGCGGGGATTCTTCCTACAAAGAAGACCTCTGGTGAGGAATCAGTGTGGCTGAGGTTACAAATACTTCGGCAGAGGAAACACCTGGTCACAGTGTCTTGTGCGCCATCCACATGCTTAGTGATGTGGTGGTCTCTTGAGTAATTGGTAACAGTTAATCATGAATTGTCCTCACAGTGATTCAGGAAGTCTGTCCCTTATGATAAAGGTGCATCTCAGAGAGGCCAGGTACTTGCCAAGTCTCTCATGTCTTGGGTGTAGATCCATATCTGGTAAGTCCCCTATGCCAACTGCTGCATTTTCTTAAATTCACAAACATGACTCTTCAAATTGACTCTACTACTGGGTTTTCAAATCATTTTCAGAGAATTCTGAATAAGACTTTCTGGAATTAACAGCACCACTCTCCAGTCCTACTAGGCCTTTTTTGATGTACCCTTCAGTAAGAAGAGCCCCTAATGGATGGGCTGAACTATCGCCTTGTGTCAAGTGGGACCTTGTCAAAGAATGACTTCGCAGTTCCTCTGTGGAACTGGCCATTTCTTGATCTTTGGAACCTCTTTATTTTTTCCATGGTCCTAGGCAGAAGTTCACCCTCTGAACAATCAGGCATTTCTACTCAATTTACCAGAGTGTGAAGTGAGGAGATATTCTTTGGTGCTCTCTCACCAGACTCTGTCTCCTTCCTCCTCTTCTCTCTTCTGAAATTGATAGCTGCAGGAAGACAATAAGAAAACCAAAATCAAACAGGCCTATCTCCATTGGATGACCATCCTATACCAGGGGCATCCTGTCAAGGACCCAGGGAGAACCAGAAATCAGATAGATTAAATCCCCTACTTTATTTTGGTTTGGAAATGTATTCTCTTATTTTCCCTTAGTTATTTATTTAGTTTTCATTTATTTTATTTTAATAGGTATTATATTCATATTCACACAAAATAAATTCAAAAAGTATACTATTTCAAAAGTTTTTTATATTGTAGAAAATAGGTCCCTTCCTTTATATAAAAAAGTATCTTACACATTGTATTCTGCCTCTCATTTCTTTCATTTGTCTTAGAAATCTTTTTTTTAAAGCAGAGACATATAGACCTGCCTCTTTCTTTTAGCATAGATAGGCCATAACTTGCTTAATGGGTCTTCTTTTGAGGGATATTTTTATTGTTTCCAATTTATTGACTATTACAAACATTCTGGCATTATATCACTAATTCATGGGTAAATGTGTAAACAGAGCTATGAGATAAAGTCCTGAGAAATGTAACTGCAGGATCACAGTACACGTGCACTTGTCATTGGGGTACATTTTAAGAAGTGTCCACTCTGGAGTGTGACTAATTTACATTCCCATTCCCCTGCCCACCAGCACCAATCCTGAGTCCCGTAGCTCAACATTTTAGAGCAAGAGGTTCTGGGGAACAACTTCTGGGACTTGTGAGAACATGGATTCAGCAGAAAGCTAGACAGGCTGTGGCTTGGTGGGTAGCTGCTGGACAGCTAGCTTGCTCCCAGGCAAGCGACAGAAGAGAAGGCCTAGGAAACTCTTGATGAACCCGCTGTCTTAATGTCAAGCAATTCTGAAATAAACCCAAACAGATGGGGCTCCTGTCTGCTGCTAAAACCCTCCAGGAGGTAAATTCCACAGCCTTCCTGGGTAGACTATTGGGGCTTCTCACAACTCTTCTGCAACTCTGGGCGTTTCTCCTTGTGTCTAATATATATCTTTCCTGCCTACATCCACTTGTGAAAAACATGTGCTAACATTTCCCTAAAGTAATGCAAGTTCACCAAGCTGGACAACACGATGCTATCATTTCATGGCTAAAGCATATATCCACCCTTTTAAAAAATAGCATGCATACCCTAAGCTATTTTAGAAATCTTTAATACCCACATAAGGAAGAGTAGGAGCCCTTTTTGATTTTGCCCCACATTTAATTTAGCTATGAACCTGAGACTACACAGGCACATGCACATGCACGCTTTGCAATTCTGTAGTGCTCTGTTGTCCTCCTCTTTTTGCGTACTATAGTTACAGAATTATGATACTTTCTCATTAGGTGCTGATGAATGCATTGCTTTCTTAAGAGAATCTACTATCACTTCTGCTGGAGGAGACAACGTCTCCCTAACTGAGAGGCTTGTAGATCATTTCTTAGTGTATCTTTCTCCGGCTGTCTAGATACAATAACTATTTTAGGAACATTTGGCATCCAAAAAATCCTAGCATTGTGCAAATTAAAACATCTGCTTATACTTTGACACCCTCATTCTTCAAAGGTTAGTTGGATTTGCGGTTGCTTTGTTCAACAAGACTGCTCTTAGAGCCCAAGGATGCACATTTAATTATTGGAAAGATGTGTTTGACAGAGCTGTGGGAGAAAAAAATTACCCTTCATATTCAGACCAGCATTAACATTTTTATAGAACGAGATTGCCTGAGAGTCAAAGAAGGGGGGAAACTCCAGGAAAATAAATATGAATCTATTTGGTCACTGGTCTTCTCCTACTGATTTACAAGACGTCTACCAACGGCTCTTTGCTCTGTTCCCTAGAACTCATCAGCTTGCTGTTAAACTGGCATTTCTGATTTCTGCTGAGGTTAAAGTCAGCAAAGTAAACTCTGCTTCCAACAATAAATAACAGGGAGTTATTCTTTTCATTCAAACAGGCTCTAGATCACAGCCGACAGCTACAACCAGGTGCATTTAGCTACATTTATCATTGCCACGAATGCAAAACATGTAAAGAATCTGCTGCCTATGGGTCTACATCTAGCCTTTTCCCACCTTAAATATTTTTCAATTTCCAGTTGGGACTGAGTCATTGTCACCCATCACCAGCACAATAGCGAAGGGCTGAGGTGCAGGTAGCAAAGCCAGCATCTCCTTGTTGGTTTGTTTATTTATGCAGGTCATCAAAGCCAGGTAGCAGATTGTACACTGGAAGGCTTTCTGTACCTCAAGCCAAAGACTGGTAATCTTCTCGCTGGACCATGCCGAGATAACACATGTCAGGACGCAGCGGTGGCTGGTAAGCCAACTCATCACTCACCCACCCTCCACCCTGCCTGGCTCCCTTCGTGTTCCAGTCTTTTCATTGCCACCACAGAGGCCGCCAGACCTTAGCTGCTGGCCAGAGAGGAAGGAGAAAGGAGCAGGGAGAATGCAGAACACATGCAGCAACAGGGATTTGGTGAGGCAGGAGCTAGCAGGTGAGCTAATAACTCATTCGGCAACGTGCAGCTGGGTGTGCATGATTTGCATATCGGGGACCCTTTGTGAGAGTGGCTTACCCGGTTGGTGGGGCTGCTGTGAGGTGGAGATGAATTCTCAGAGAGCAAGTTACCGCCTATCTACTTTGTGCACAAGTTAAGGAGAGGCTCACTGCTGTCATCAGGGACCTGTTGTAGAAAAGCCGCGTCGTTGGGAGATTTATTTTCCTTCTGCCAAGTATATTATTTCCAAACTCGCCTTTTCAAGGTCTTGCAAATCCTCTTGAAAAATGATTTGACAATTTAACGAAAACAACAGCCAAACAAAAGCCATGTTGATGAGGGACAGAGGTAAGGTTGGGTTTGAAATGAGTGACGAACCTCATAATGAGGTGTGCAGCTTTGTATATTAAGTGATTTCTCTCTGGTACTTTTCCAGATGTGATGGAATACATTTATTTTTGTGCTCATCTGAACTGAAATAATACAAATGAGATACTAAAAAGATATCATTATGTGCAGAAGTAGGCAAAGAATTTAGAATACCACTTCTGTAAGTTAATAGCTGTGTCTGAAGCAATTGAGAACTGTTTCAGCCTGCAGGTTGCCTGGGAGCCTCCATCTCACTTGTACAGACCAGCGATGATCTACGTGTGAATCCTGCATGTTGATAGTTCAAGGCTACTTTATTTCAGGCAGAAATAAATAGCTGGCAGTAAGAAGTCTGTCTCCCCCAAAAGCCTGCAGTAGGGCTCAATATAGCCACTGCAGTAGTGTAATAAAATGGGATGAGTTTAAAACTACCAGATGGTACCCTGTACAGTGCCTGAAATAAAATAGAGAATTAAGGTGCCCCAAGGTGTGCACAGGAAAGGCAATTACATGAAATAAATGGGCCTCGGGCCTACAGGATGCTCAAGTATGCTACACAGGAGACATATACTACATCTGGTGAACAGATTTTATCACACACTGGAAAGCCATAAAGCACGCCGTTGAATATAGGATCCCTGTCTCACAATGACATTTTACCTGTGTTGGTATTCAGTGCTGTTTATTTTAAAAGGTGCTGTAATCTCAATGATGTGTTTTAAAAGCCTCCTTAACATTGTTTTCTGCTATGTCCCATTTTGTGGGGGACAGCTTGAGACAATGCAAGGAGAGACTGTGGACAAATATCCAGTTCGGTCGCACGAGAGCATGTTTTTATTTCATTTATCTCATTGCTGATGTGATTTGAGTAATAGGATTATACTTGTCAGCACTCCCCGTTTGGGGAAACGCCAGCATATTTTTGATGCTGGTTCCCACATCGCTGCAGCTTCACCAGAGGTTCCCTCCCCAGCTGCCCCCTCCTTTTTCTTCATGTTCAAAGGAAAAGCAAGTTTTGGTGGTGGGGGCTGGTGAGAAGGATTTGCTGGCACGGAGCCCTGTCTGGTCTCTCCCCTCACAAGCGCCAATCTGCTTTCTGTTTGAAAATGGTGTGCTCCTTTTCTATTGTAAAAAAGACCGAGGAACACATAACATTCATTATTGTTTTAAGAGTTGCTGTAATAAAATCCTCTCAGTACTTAAAGATAGTTTTAGTGTCCCTCCTAGGATTCATTCTAGCTTTGATAATTGGGTAATTGCACCCCCTCCCCCACCAATAAATATTTTCACCCAATTAAGTTTAAAACGATAATAAATTTTAAAGAATTATGGTCTAAAAATTCATACCCTAGAACCAGTATTAAGTATGAATATTTATCTTAAGCCCTCAAGCAGTGCAGCCTGTTTATGGGCTTCAAACCTGTGCAGTGTCCCAGCTCCTGGGAGCTGCCGCTGGCAGTGTGGCTGCCCACTGCCCGGCAGGAGTGTGGGGCCAGGAAAGACAAATGCCCTTCCCCGCCCATACAGACCAGCAATCCTTCAAGTCACACCCCGGCTGCCTCCAGGCAGCGTTCACTTTGCTTCCATTCATTCATTCACTCATTCATTCATTCATCCACTCATTCATTCATTCATTCATCCACTCCTTCCTCTGTTCAGTAAGTTCAAATTGAGTCCCTAGACCCAGGCTTGAGGTTGAAGCTGGGCATGGAGAGTGCACAGAACAGAGCCGTGGCTGCTCACACACGGTTTACCTTCCACTCCCTCCCATTTGCTCCACAAACCAATTCATCCAGATGAATTTTCCAGGTCTTCAATCCAAGTAAAGCCCTCTACTGCAAAAGAACAGAGGCTCTCACTGTTTAAGGACAGCTGGATGACACCTACTCCTACCTCCTGACTCAGATGTGTAATGAATGCCAAACGACAACTCAATCTTTCACTCTTCGATCCACTAGAGACACCAAGTCTTCTATCCTGTTCTGTGAAAATAGATGCTCAATCACAGCTCCCAAGGCCCATAACATATGGTATCAACCATGCCTGGAGTCCAGGAGTCAGGAGCAAGGACCAAAGCACGCCATTGGCAAAACCCACTCAAGCCATGTAGCTGCAGCAGGAGTAAAAGGGAGAGGTAGGAAAAGAGAGAGAACCGAAAAGAGGAAATGGCTGGTCCAGGTGGTGGTGAGGGGAGAATGCCCCT